TTGTAGGTAAAGGTGTATTTGGGAGGACTATTCCTCCCAGAAGTAGCATTTAATGTATTTTACTAGAAAGCTCCAAAACTTTCATTTTTCTTATGTAAAAGCTGTGACATACTGCAGTTTGAAGCTATAATAGATCTAGATGGAGGAAAAGCTGTTCCTTGGGCAAATAAAATTTGAGGAAAGAAACCTACCTATTCCTTGGAGGAACAAAGGAAGCCTCTTTCTTACCCATCACATACATGTATTCCAGAAATATTTCAACTGAAGAAGAATCCTGGGAAGAGCTAAATGAGAAGTATGCCTGTGCATTTTATGTAACTTTACTAGTTGTTTTGTCTGTAATGTGGCCTAAAAGGATATTGTCAAGATGAAACACATATTTATCGTGAAGCAAAATTATAAATTTCCCATATGAAGTTGTGTCTTTCTACTTATTTTCTTATCTCTTATTTCATAAAGGGAACCGCCACTTCCTGCCTACTTCTCCTCTCAGGGATTATGGAGACTCACAGGGCAATAAACATCGAAGGTCTAGATCCGCAAGTGTTCGATTTGTCAATGAGGCAGATAATTTGGACCAGGTACAGAGCACTAATGGGAGCTGCTTCCCCAAATAGGCCATATGTGGTCACCAGGCTGTTTGCTTTTACATCAAATGAGGTTATTCTGATGATGCAGCTAAGAATGTTTCAGCTATGAATTGTTCTTTCAATGTTATGTGCCGTTCTTCATTAGGCAGTCACCTCTTGCATCTCTTAGTGTCATAAAGTTTCATGCAAATCTATCATTATAGATAAAAAGATGCAGATGATAGCGATATTAAAAGGAATGTATGAAAATATTCTGTACTCTTTAGGCCATGTGTGAAAAAGAAAAATTGTCTCTGAATATGTGATCAGTGTTCACCTACATGCTGTAATCCAGTGTGGCTATAAAGGATTGTTCTGCTTTAGTTAATGGCACAGGATCTTACTACTTTTGTTGTTTATTTCAGTGTAACCAGGATTGATTTTGAGCCAGCTAGTTCTCCATCTTAATTCTAGGTCTATCCTGTGAGTAGGATCATTTGACCCTGTACTTCAGGCATATGATGTGAGGAGGACAGGATGTCTACGGCACTGATAATTTTCATAGCTCTCAACTTGCGTCTGCCTGCAGACTCTTCAGAAAAATAGATTAATTACTTTAATGGATAAGATTATAGGTTTTCTATATCCTACAGAGAGAGAGGAAATTTCAGTGTCTATTTTGGCTCTTTCAGACAGAGTGTCTAGACCTGCTTGAGTGAATCCCTCTGTGTAGACTAATTTGTTCAGGAGAAATGTATTATGAACAATATTAAAGCAGCTGGTTGTAAGGTGTTCATGTTGACTTTATTAAATCAGTCTCAACTTCCAAATAGTTAATTTTAAACTTAACCACAATACATTCTCTCAGTTGACTTTTTGGGAAGTCCGAGTGCTACAGAAATTTCTAGACTTCTTTTTAACCCTGTTTCATTGTCCTTTCAGTCTACTTCTTCCCCCATGGTTAATGTGGAACATAATCCTTGGAAGGAAATAATGTTATATGAAAATCTTTTTCCCTGAGCTTCCAAAAAGCTTAGAAATATTTTAGACTACTTCTAAATATTCTGTAAATGTCTTAGAAATTTTATTCAAGGGAGTTCCTGCAATGCATACAAAACTCCTAGTTTATATTAAGTGACTATGTAAGCAAATAGCTTTTTTTCCTGTTTGATTATAATTGCTGGTTTATTCCTTACTCTTGCTTTTCAGTGAGTGAACATGGCTTTACTCAGTCATTAACTATTTTGTAGGAAGAGTATAGTGCTTTTAGGAATGATGAACTAGAAGTAGTCATTGATCATGACCACAGGTAGAAACTGGGGGAGAAATAAAGCAGTACTACTTAACTAAAGCTGTGGCTTTTTCTTCTTTCTGTAGCCACAGGCCCTTTATTCCCATTCTGACTGCTTCTAGCTAAGGTAATTTTCCAGCTGAACAGGCTTTTCACATATGTGAGTCTCCTTTTTAGGCTGATACGTTCTGAAAATATGCTGTGTTTTTCAAAGTCTCTTGGGTCAGGTTGAAACTTCTGGTTAGTCACATAGGGGAGATGGCGGTGCCTGTGCTTGAGAGTTGAGGATGGTCAGGTGGGCTGTGGAAGATCCAGGTTTAAGTCCTGGGCATAGAACAAGGGGATATTATAAACCAAGGTTTTTCATAATGATGGTCCTGGCCACTGAGCTGTTGACAGTAGTAGGATGGATTAACTGTCCCTTTTTATCTCATGAAGGATGGATGACCTATTACTTTTTGTATTTGCTCCCTTGAAAACTTTGACTATAAATTGGGTGCCTGCTGAATGGGGGAAATGGGAGAGTTTACAGAGGAAAATAGAGGTGTGTGGGTTTTTTTGGTTTGGTGGGGTTTTTTTTTAGCCCTGAAAAAAGCATTCTAGTAATGTAAAGTCTTGAGCAAATTAAAATAGCTTTCCTCAGTGCTTTGTCAGTTCCTGGATACATCATAGGGTTCTCCTTGGTCACTTCCAATCTCATATGGCATCTTTTTGTAGTAATATATGTAGCTGGGCAGAACTTTGTTTCAGTTATACTAGCATTTGTTACCAAGAAATGTCTTTCTCTTGACTTCACCTGTTCATTTTTTTCATCTTGCTTTGCATTAGGTTAAAAAGATGGTGTAGGGTCAAGTAACCAAAATGACCAAGCTCTGAACCATAGGAAAATAACATAGTTGGGAAATTTGGTTTAGCAAATACTGTAATGAAAATTAAACTTCAATGAGCAAGTGTTGTGAAGCGTTGATTGAAACACAAGCATGCAAGCCTTATCCACTCATCCAGGCTCATTTTCAATTAATGAAATTTTATTATTTTGTTATTTTATTATCAATTATTTTTATCTGCTTTATTTTAAAAAGTGTGTATGTACATATATAGGTATTTTTAGAATATCACAGGAAAAAAAGGGTTCCTAAGCCTTGGCTTAATTTGTGTACTTCAATTTACAGCTGCATTCTTTCCACCAGTCTCTTCGAGATCTCAGTAGTGAACAAGTTCGCCTAGGAGATGACATCAGTCGGGAACTTTCAAGAAGAAATCGGTATAAACAGAATATAACTCCATGTGAAGAATAGTGTGGAAAATAATTGTTATGCTTTTAAATAATTCTTAAACTCCTTTGTTCTTTGGGATTTAAAAAAAAGAACTTTGGTGAGAGTGAGGAACTGCACAACATGTAGATGAAAGCAGTATTATGAACTGCTTGTTCTGTGTCATCTTGTGCAGTATTTATTAATGTAAATAACACCCATCAGTTCTGATTTGTATATTATATGTGGCTTTTTCCCTCCTTTTTTAATATATATGTGTGTGTATATATATATGGACAAAATGACAAAGACTTGGGAATTTCTTTTATTACAACTTTGCTTCTTATTTGTTCTTGGTACTGGAGTCTCTTGAGGGCAAGCTCTCGTGCAGGCCATAATGTTTTTGTTTTAAAGTACATACTGTCTTGAAACATGATACTTTATCTAGTAGCAATAATGGGAATTAATCAGCTAATCCCTAGTAGAAGCTAGTACTATTCAAAAGGACTGTGTAGAGATGGTCATAATTTTGTACTTGTTGACCTGAAACCTAGCCTTTCAAATTAGATGCTCTGTTTTCTTCCCTTAAGGAATGGAAATGCTTTTTATAATGAATTTTCCACTTGAGGCTGGTCTCTAATTCTGCTATAAATTTAAAGGCTGTAGAACAAATTGAAGTTGCATAAACATCCAGGAGATTGTTGCTGGTTAAAATTATCACAGTTGATATTTTGGTTTTGCACTGTTGACTATTGTCTTACCTTATTTTTCTGTGAAGGACTGATGCTGAATTAAGAAAGACTCTAGAAGAATTGTCTGAAAAGCTCACTGAGTCCCAAAGACAAACGGTGAGTGTGGTTAACATGAAAAGATTATTTATATTTAGTATTCTAAGCAGGATGTGGGCTTCTAGTTCAATGTGTGTTGGTAATCAGTACCATGTATTAGTATGTATATCTGAACATGATCTTTTCTAGGCTGCTACAGGTTGTTATAATGTTATCCTTCTTTAATGAAATCAGCAAGGTAAGTTTTGTATTTTAGGTCCTTGTTTGAGGTAAAAGTGAGTGTTTTGCAAGTGTATATGTAGTGAATTTTTCTGTTTCAAAATTCATGGTCTTGGAGAAAGCTGCTTTTAACTTTGAACAGTGGTTTGAATGCTATCGTACTTCTTGAATATACCTTTTGAAAGATACAAGCTTTCCCATGTTATGATGATGATGAATAATATTTCTTCCTCATCTTCCGTTCCTCCCTCCCTGTCCTTTTCAGTCCTTATCATCTGTGCAGCATGACAGGAGGAGTCTCTTTGGGCTGCACTCTTCTTTAAAGGCTTTGTGACAAATGTGACAAAGGAGGCAGGACAGCCATGGTGGTCTGCTTTCAGCAGATAATAGGAGGCAAAAAAGAAGAGACTAACTGCAATCTGTGTCACTTAAATATGAAACAATCTGCTATTGAGATGGAAGTTAAACAGTATTGCTGTAGGAACAAGAGAAGTTGAGAATCTACCCAGTAGTTAGGAGGTGAAAATCCTGTAGGAAGCTCTTCACTCATAAGACTTGAGTGTATGCTTTGTGTAAGTATTAATGTGTGGTATCAGTAACAATGCTGACTTTTCAGAGCAAGTGTTGTGTATCCTTATTTTCCCACAGGTGATTCATCTTGCCCTAAAAATGCATTAATTGGTACTAAATGCTCTGTCAAGAGCTTTAGTGGTGGTTTTGTCATTGATAACAGTATTGTTGGCATTGTTTAATATTTCGTAGTAAGCATTTTGTCTACCACAATATACTTTTCCTTCTGAAGAAATGTTAACCCATGTGGTACCTATTCCTTTATCCTAAAACAACTTTCTTTAGTAGTCAGCCATTCTGTATACCAAGCTCTATCTTACAAAAAAAAAAATCAACAAACATTTGATGGAAAAAATGGTTGCTTTAAAGAATCAATTTGCTTATAGTCTAAGGCTTGGTTTTTTACTATATCTTTTGTTATTTCATACATATGTGGAATAATTTGTGAGGCTGCAAATTTTTTATTTATGAAATAACTGATTACATGCAGAAACAACTTTAGTCCTTCGGAGAAATAAGAGTTGGGCAAATATTCAAACATGTTCTATGCAAATCTTCTTAAAAAAGGGAAAGTTGACAACAAAGTGTAGGAAGTATAGCAATATATCTATTTGGCTGAATTAGCAGCTCTGCATTTACTTCAGACACAAAGAGAAAGAACACAGAAAGCAGAAACTAAATTAGAGTAATAAGAACAGTCATTAAAAAATAGTGCAAATATATTGGAGCAGAACGGCCACTGTGGTAGATAACAGGATGTACCAACAAAGAGGCATTGAGCAGTGATGATTCACTTGTAAATACGTTACCATTTCTCAGGGAGACCAAAGCAATTGGTCTGTTCCTTGCGGAAGAGGGGAAGCTACTGACACAATGTGCCAAGAAAGTTGATTCCTGTTTAACACCTTTTTAACATTGATTTTTGCCAAGAATTTAAGCTGCAAGCTAGTGACCAGGAATGGCCATGTAAGTGCTAATAGAAGAGTGCTTGATGGTGAAAGTACAGATGAGAACATGTTCCCCTCCACATTATCAGAAACTAGTAATTGAATGGTGGTTTAAGTATCTCTTTTTTTTTAAATCTAAATATAATTCATTAATAGTTATGTTACTTTCTAGTGATTGTTTAAAATAATTAGTTTTAAGGTAGAGAGGAAATGATACATAAATATTTTCCCTGCTTATCATCAACAATGTAAATTTAATTTGCTGCCCACAAGAGGGTGCTGTCTGCTTGCAGCTTGAAATGCAAAAATAAAGTAGTTCTGGTATTGTTGTTTAAAGTTGAATTGTTGTGTTTATAATCCAAATTGCTTTAACAACTAACTAGTGTTATTTGTATCAGTTCGTACATAGATTCATAAAATATTGGGGAAAACTCTTAAAGTGATGTAATTATTTTGTGCTATTTCAGTCATTCTTATGTACTTAGTTCTTGTTTACTACTTTTCACTCACAGATTTCAGAGTATGAAAGAGGCAAACATTGGTCTGTTTTACAGACTGGACATGTGAAAGAAATGACTCTCCAGAGGTTAATCAGGCCTGTGGCAGAGAAGATAAGATTTTTGTGTTGCAGCTTCACATTAAGCTGCACCAAGCTCCATATTGAGATATTTAGCACTTGAGTAGAACCACCACTTTAGAGAAAAATATCTGTGTAGCTCAAGGGGGATATTACTAGCAAGATAGCAGGTCAGTTCCCTGCTTGAATACTTCTGGAGTACGCACTGCTATAAGTCTAATTATTTTCTATGCAATTTTAAATCTTATTTAATAAAATAAAAATTGTGTTCTCTCTTCTTTCTGCTCCATATTCTATTTACCTTTTTTGCCATTGTTTTCTTAATACATGGTAAAAGAGTCACTAATTTCCTGCAGGGTGTTTTTTCTACCTTTTGAAGGTTTCAGAACGGGTGGAGAGAAGACTTCAGGAGATAGAACAAGAAATGCGTCTTGAAAGACAGCTTGTAGAAAGGCGCCAGGACCAACTGGGACATATGTCTCTTCAATTACAAGAGGTATGCAAATAAAAACTTCCTGTGTGTTCAGGATTAAGTTAGGAACATGTGTCATTTGTGAGCCTGCACCTGTCAAACGGGCAAAAGTACTCATCGTTGGCACATTCTTTTAACTGTATCAGTCCAGCTCTGCTTGTTTTGGCGACAGATGATAACAACTGCAGTCTTTGTTCTTCATGATGCTCTCTTGTCTATGTTTAGACCTTTTGGTAACTGGCACAAATATTCTTTAAAAGAACCTGCCTACTATGCCCTCCCTCAAACCCGAACAAACAGAAGCAAGTCATTAGCTGGGTTGTCTCAATTAAAACATTTTGTTTTCTAAAATGTAAACTTTGCTTAGAGTGAGCAGTTTATTTTTAATTTGCTTCAACAAGCAATCAAATGCACTGTGGTGACCAGACAGGTTTTTATTGTTTTTCAAACAGTTTCATTCATCAGTATCTGATGAAGTATAAAATACTGCTTAGGAGACAAATACAAATATTTATATTTTAAATTAAAATTAGCTAGTAGCTTTTTTCTGCTTGTTTTAGGAAATGTGTGCAAAAGACATCTCTGTTTCTGAATTTACTGCTATTTGGGAAGTCTGTGTCTTAACATAGTGTAACTTGTTTTATTTCACTCCCCTTAAGGTATGATTTGCAATGTTATCTGTAACTATGCTATAGAATACTATAGTTGAGAAGAAATGTGCAATTCTTTGTTTTTCACTTTTAATGTTAGTGACAGTAGACATGCTTTTTGGAAGACAGTTCTTTTATCCTGTGGAGTGATATTGAGAAACCTTAATTTAGACTGACACTTTGTATTTCATATAAATCTAGAGACTCTTCAAAGAGGTCATATTTAAGAAGATAAGATGCTCTGTTGATATAGATCAAAAGTAATGTTTATCAAAATGCTTGTAGTGCTTCTGCTAGTATTTCTGAGTTACTGTTTCATTTTTTTCCCCCCTATTGATGTCCTATGGGGTGAAAAGAACTAGAGTGCTTTATTACTGTTTTCATTGCTCTTCAATATTCCTATGTCCATTTCTAGATTCTTTGGTTGTGCCTTCAGTTCGGTAGAAGGATGCTTAATGAAATGAGTTGGTGTCATTTGATAGTGTTATCTGCAGATTGCTCCAATCTTTTTTTTTTTTTTTTATCCTGTTAAAGGGATAATGACTTATCTGTAAAGATACATTGACACTGCCATGGTTTCCTTAGAAGGAAAACTTGAATTCAAGTGAATGAATTCAAATGTATTTCAAAGACTTCCATGTGATTGGCTATGTGATCATGAGCCCTCAAGCTGGTTACCTTTTTTCCTAGTAGCTAATCTTTTGAATTTAATGCAAAGTGAATATGAAATACTAAGTACATCCCTGACCTTCCGTTCCCCTAAGCTGTCCAGCTGTAGGTGAAGATGTTTTAATCCTTTCTCCTGCAAATTCTGTTTTCTTCCATGCATATTTTTTTAAATTACTTTTCCAAGGAGCCCTTTCTACGTAAGATTTTTTGACACCACTGTTCAGAACTTTGATATATAGTCCTCATTCTCAGTTTACAGAAGCTTAACACCTATTAGTCTGCTTGGTAAACTTTTAATGTTAGGAATTTGCCCAAGCCAAGATTCAGAGCCAATCCTGACTGGAACAGGCTTATTCCACATACCGTACATTCAATGCCGCTGCAACTTGGAGGAGAATCGCATTCTTGGTGATTATCTTCAGTCTCTCAAGCAAGGACTCGTATATCCAAATCGTCCTTCTTGGTGGCTGATCTCAGTCATGACTCTGGATTTCTTGGACTGGACTCTTGTCACTGTATTTGGGAATCCTAATAAAACGTAAATGACCCCTGTTGCAATGAATTATGGATTTTTTAGGAGCTTCAAACCTTTAACATGCAAAATAGAATCTGGTGGTGTCAGATGATGAGTGCAGAAGGGAGCTGCTTTAAATAGGTATTAGGCAATCTTTCTTTGACAGATTACAGAGGAATATGGAGACAGTATTGCCCTTGAAACACAGACTTCTATTACTCTCCCAGTAGTAACAAACAGTTTGTCCTATTCCTGCTACTTCTTCTTTCATAGCTTTCTTAACAGCTTGGAGAACATCTTTGTGACAGAGTTGCAACTCCCTACGTTCCAGATGTCTTTAGACTCCAGTATTGCTGAGGTCTCAGACCCTTATTACAAGTTTCCATCGAGCTGTCCAATTGGTCCTGCTCTAGGTAGAAAATGGTCTCACTTCTGTATGCTGTTTGTATTTATCAGGCATGGTTCAACATCTCTTGAACACGTGGCTGAGCTCTTCAGCTTTCTCATTGGCAGACTGGGCCACCTGGTGCCCTATGTTTTGAAAAACACTTGTTTTTCAGAGCAAAATAGTCTGGATCCTGTACACGCTGCTTCTCAGTGTAGTATTGTCCCAAGAGGTTGCTGTGTGGGAAAGCTTTGTGAATAAAATTACTTTGTTATTGAATATAAATTGTAGAAGAAATAGGAAAATGAGAATGCCTAAGGAGGCAAAAAGTTTAGAACTGATTGAATCTCAAATTAAAAACAAGCCAGGGAAAATACCAACACCAAAACAGTCTGAGAACTGGGTGCAGCAGATTTGAAATTTTGAGCTTCTGGTTTTTGTTTTTTTTTTTCAAATTTTGTTCTTTGTATGTGGTGTTACAGATGAATAAATTCAGTATGGCAAACCAAATTGATTGAATAATGTAATTTATGACTGTGAAGTATTTGAAATTTTTGAATAGGAATAGTTTTAAAAGGTTGTTATTTCAACAAAGTATTTTCAAGTTGAGTATTAGTTGGCTTCTTGTTGATTTATTCATTGCTTGCATCAATGTAATTGCTTGATGTGTTTTGCTAAAGTATATTTTATTTTTCTCTACTGGAGACAAAATTTAAATTTGGCTTTAAAGATCTCTGAGCAAAGTTGGTATAAAAACTATAGTTAAACCATTTTTAGTGATTTAAAAAAATAATCTATATTTTAAGTGGGCAAGTTCAACAAAGCCTACAAGCTAATTATTTAAAAAAAATAATAAAATTCCTGATAGGAATAATTGTATTTTGTGTAAGAAATCTGATGTCATTTAACTTTTTTCTTACTGATCACCTGTCACTTGGGGGTAGCATTTGCCACAAAGACTGCTTGATAGGTGAAAGAATTTTCAAGAACAGATTCTCAGATTCCAGTGGGGAAGCTTACATATTTCTTAACAGCATTACAGTTGGTGTGTGACTACATTGTACATCAAGAACAGCAACTTCTTAACATAGCATTGCTGTTTTTCTTCCTTATTGGGAAATATGTTCTTTCATGCTGCTTTGATACTCAGCTATTCCAGATGCTATTCTCAAGTCTGCAGTACTCTCATCAGTGCACTCCCTTGATCTCTCATGGGATATACAGAATGATGCTGAGGACCTGCTACTGAAAAAGGTGGATCTCTTCATTGTGTACATCCATACAAATGTGTACTCACTTAAAGGTTCTTAGGGGACTTTGTACACGAAAATACTCTTAATGAACACAATCAACATAGGGAGAGGCTAGTTGCCTTCATCTGCATCTTGGCAGCTGTTCTTGTGGTGACTTTATTTGGCCTGAAGTATCAGGAGTATCAGAAGCAGCAGCCAAGCTGCTTTACAGTAAATGAGATGTCCTCCACTGGTGAAACATGAACATATTTAGGGGTAAACCCAAGCCAGTAAACTCTAAATATCTGTGCTGGTTCTCTGCAAGAACACGTGGAGATGATGATAGAATTTAGGTTTCATTTTTCTAATTTTCTTTAATGCCATTTGTCTGCAATACTAATACTAACTTGGACAGTGATAGTCTTGGAATTTTTTGTCTCCTACTCTATTTGGAGTGGGGTGCTTAGATTCACCCATGTAGATGTATGTATGGACAGTCCCTTAAGAACAGAATGTTGCTTGTCAACTAACCTGAATTTCTTCGAGGATCGATAACTGTTTGCCCAGTTGCTCCTTGTCTTCCATTGTCCATTATCTTCTGTTGCCCCTTTCTTCTAATAACTCTGGGGTTGAGGACTGGGAGGACATGGTCCTCCATTTATACAAATACTACATGTCGAAGGAGAGGGAAGGGTAGACATGCCTCCTGCAGATACTGATTAGGAGAGAAAGCTTTCCCTGGAAGAGCTTGAAGTGCGTGTGGACAGTATGTACTGAGGAATATATCAAGAAGTAGCCTTTGTAGCATATAATGTTCCTAGGGCATAGTGTGTATCCTGTAGCTTAAGCTGCTGTGTGTTAGAAAGAATGTACTTGAGTTGCTATGTGTAGTTTTGCATACTCTAGTGAGAATAAAGGAAATAACTAAATATTTTGCAACTTTTTATTTGGATGAAGCTTGTCTCTACATAATTTTTAAGAAGAGCTTTTCCCTTTGTTATTCTGTTTCTTGTCCTTTGTACTTTGAATTATGAGTTAGATGGACTCTTAGCTCTGTCAGTGGCCTCAGTTTTGTGGTGATCATCCCATGGATGTAGTGTTCTATTAAAGTCTTTTTCTGTCCTCTTTTATTTTTCCAAGAAACTTCCCAAGTAACATTACTGGAAGGAGGGTAGGGTTTGGACTGAGTTCTGAAATCATGTCATTCAATACGGTCTGAATGATTTACAAAGAAATGGTATTTAAAATGTTAGTGGTTGTTTAATGAGACAATTTTTTTCATTAGTTTGCCTGTTATACATTTCAAACCAAACAAAATCAAATTTTACTTTTGGATTTAATCAGTAGTTGTTTTAATTACAAAATCTTGTGTGGTTTAAATGTTAATAGCTATTATTTTTAATGCAGTGCCTGTAACTGACCACTACTTGTCAGTATTTTACTGTCTAAAGAGAATCATCTTCCTAAATCTCAATTGTTAAATTATATATTTTCAGGGTTTAACTGAACATGATGATACATTTGTTTTGGTCTTTTTGTCTGTCTTGTCTTTCTGCCTATCTTTTGTATGATGTGCAAACTTTTTATTTGTATTGCACTGTTATTATAATCATGGACTGATTATTAACCAAGATGATATCTAGTATACTGACCATGAAGTTTGACATAAGGAACTTTGCATCTTTAACATCTAAATTTGCATTATTGTCTTGAATCTGTAGTCTATATGTGCTGTGTGTAGGTGGATAAAATTTTTTTCTCTACATTTGAATGTATCTTTTAACTTAGTGTGTATTGGTGTGTTTAAACACTATCTGTTTAAACAGCAATTACTTCAAATTAGAAAATTGCAATTAGCAAACAAATTCATCCAAATCATACATATTCACTTTCTTCTATGTTTCTGATACAAATGTATTTTTTATTAGAAAGGAGAACAAATGTACTTGTTTTGCCAGTGCTACTGACAGGTATATATGGGTTGCTTTAACGAACTAAATTTGTTGTGCAAATTAAAAGTATTTTGAGATTCTTCAGTGATTTATTTTGAAAATGAAGACACCATCACCTTGTGCTGTTTGTTTGCATTTATGCATCCAGTTTCTAAAACAAGATCAAGTATCATTCTTAAAAATGGGCTTTAAACAGCTTTTATGTGCATGGGATGTCCTGGATGGTTTTACTAATTCCTGTGCTTAGCTCTGTGGATTTTGGTGAAATGAGTCTGGGTGTTCGTGCTTTGCACAGTTTAGGTGGATAGAATCATCTTTATAGAACATTTTGAACCTACTGACTGTGGTAAGAGAATGACTATCGTTGTGTCTTAAGCTAATAACTTGGATGGGCGAGGAAGCATTTTTTTTTTTCCTCTGTGCCACTCGATACTTAGATTCTGTGTACCTCCCACTGCACATACTGTGAAGTGGAAGAGGCTTGTGGGCTTTCAACAGAGAGTGGGGTAGTCTGATGGTCCAAAAGCATTATTGAAAATTCTCTTTTTGCATGTCTTTATCTCTGATCTTTTTAGAAAACATAAATTTGATCTGTGCTCTGAGACATCTGGATGTTTTAATGCATCGTTGATACTTGCCCCTTGGCTCTGTGCTATGCCACCTGTAGCTAATGGTTTCTGTTTTGATTGTAGTTTGAATCTGACTCTGTCTTGGAATGTGAGCAAGTCTCATACATATCAGTCACTGAAATATCTAGGCAGCTTGTCTTTAAATGCCTGTCTGAAATGTCTAGGGAGCATACTCGGACCCATGCTAGCTGCTAACGTAGCAAGCTAGGGAAAAAATTTTCATTCAGATTAAGATGTGGTACATTTTTGTCTTATTTTAAACTATAGCATGAGGCTGGTCTGCTTGTGTTTTTCTGCTAGTACAACTATAATTCAACAATCAGGCTCACTTTGAAAGAGCAAATTTTCAGTTTGTGGTCTGTGCATTACTTTCAAATAATCTGATTTTATTTAAAAAAAACAAAACCAAACAAACCCCAAACCCCAAGAAAAGTTAGTAGGCTTAAATTGCACTAAAAGTTATGATTTGCTATTGGAAGACTTTCAGAAGTTGGAAGGATGGAGAACTGTTGTTACAGAGGGCTACACATAGTTTTCCCTGTATATAAGAAAAAAATATCTGTCTAACAGGGAGTAAATTATTTTATCTATTTGAAGTTTTGGGGTTGATATACTGTGTATGGATGAGGTATGCTGAGCTGGGGTATACCAGGTATTTTAATATTCTAATACTGTCTTATGCTAGTGAACTCTTTAAAAAGACCTGTGAGATTTGCTCTACTGGGTGGTCAAATCAAAAGGTCATCCAGCCTGTTATGGACAAGAGCCTGTTTCTGACCACCAGAGGCAGACAGTGTAATATCTAGCTGGTTCATCCTGAAGCCATCCTGTGAAGACCTCTTTACGTGGAATTTCTGTTTTCTTGTGGCCTCCTCCATGCCTGCCCCTTCCAAAGCCTTACCAACCTTCTTGTCAGCCTCCTCCTGGCTGGCCTGGACATTAATGCTTTCAAGAGGAGGATCTGGGTGAGAGAAGCCTAATGACTGTAGACCTGTTCCTGTTCCTGGGTGCTTCAGCGTTGCCAGGCAGAACTCTTCTGGGTAGTGTCTGCCTGCTGCTTCAGAGCCATCAGGGAGGAGTGTGTGTTGGAACCGCTGTCCTCAGCATCCCCTTCCTAGTTCCAATTTTTGGCTGTTGGACTCCCCCAACCCCTTCTTTGGAGACAACAAATGAAATCAAAGAAACAGTTGGATCTTTGCATGGTATTTTTTTTTTTCCTATTCTTTAGCCCTTTCTTTCCCAAGAGAAATCTTACACAGAGAAACCTTTATTGGAGAAAAAAGAAGAGTGGCATAAAACAGTGAGAGAGAATTATTTAAAAAGGAGTACAAGAAGGAGGGAAAATATAGAATTAACTTTTACCTATATAGTTTTGAAATCATCAGTAACAGCTGATTCTTGTCTGGCTCTGGGTGACCTGATGTTTCCATTTCGTGATGACATTTTGATTGGTTAACTGATTGCTTAGCTAGCACCTACTGGAAAAATGCACGTTTCACGTGTGGTGTGTTTAATTTATTGTAACATCGCATTCTTTTTGTAGTATTTTAACTCTCTCTATATGTACAAACTTTTTTTTCTTAAGAATTAAATTATGTGGGCTGTTTTTACAATATACAGAAAATAAAACTGAACATCATATTTGTAGTATAGGTTATAGGAAAGTCTGCCTTTTTATTTCAAGTTGTTGCTATTTAGTAGCCTAAATATCATTCAGTGACCCTGGTAAGCTGAAATGGCATATTAATTTCTGTGGTTTGTTCTGGGAATTAGGATGTACTGCTCATGCAGAGACGTACTTGTTGCCTTCAGTAGGGAAATCTGTGAAAATTTTCCTAGTATTTCTAATTCCAGCCCAGCTTTAACATTTTCCTTATGATGGTGACATCTCTAGCAAAATCTGCACATGAAAACATGCATTTTTAGTCCTATATTAATTATTAACTTAGTGCCAAAAATGAAATTGACATACAATTGACTGTATATAACAGAGCTTCTAATTTTACCAGTAAAAATGAAGCTCAGTTGCAGTTAGTACACATCACATATCCCTAGTAGACTGTTCTGAACTGGTACTTAGTCATTTAAAAAAAAAACCCAACAAAACAAACCAAAACCTGGTGCAATAATGGCATTAACTGAAGTGATGATGTTTGATTTTTGTTCATGTAGCTTTTTGGGAGTTCTCCCTAGAGTCTTTTTGAGTAAAATGGGAGTGTGTTGGGTCTATGTGCAGTGTTGAGTTTTAGAGTTGACTGGAATGATAGATTCGAATCTGTATTTAATACTTAAAGACATGTCTTAAATATGTTACAGTCTTACAGTATCTGATTATGAATCAGTAAGATTAAAAGCATAATTCTTTATGTAGCATAATATTTTCAGTAGCATACTTATGATAAATATCTTCCACATTCCCAGTTTTTAGTGCAAACTGTTCAAGCAGGAGAGTAGTCCAAAATATACTGAAACCCTTATGTTTCCTGACATGATGATATAAGACCGAGATAAGTATGTAAATCCATTTATTTTCTCCACAAAACTACTTTTAAAAGCAGAACTTCTAAAGCTGAATTCCTGGCTTCAGTGAGGTTGATTACTATATTACCTTCTGTTTTCATACAGTAAAGTTGTTCTCCAGTATACAGTGAAGAGGAAATATTCAAAAACTGAATGATATTGTACTAATTATAGGGGCAAATTTCAGACATTTATTTAGGTAGATATTCCTTTAAAATGTGAAATAAAAATGTTGCTCAGGAAGAACAGACTGCGAAAAACCTATTTCTTTCTGTTGTTGCTCTGTTGTAGTTTTAGCAAGTAATGGTGGAAGGAATAGATTTATTTATGCTTCATTATATTGGATGAAAGAAAAAGGTGTATGCCGAGGCCTCCAATTAGTTGATTTGTGGCTACTGTGAAAATCACTTGGTCATGTTGCACAGCAAAGAAACACGATTTTTTAAAGTTACTTAAATTCATAGCAAATTCTATCAGTACGGCTAGTGATCTCTCTCAGCTGGTGTTTCTAAGTTGTATTTAAGATGAGGCAGTGACATTCCTATGGCTTGAGAGATCCAGACTTGGATTGTGTATGCTGCAAATTGTATGTGTCATTAATGTCTGTGTTGTCTAATGCATTCCTTTGCCAGTGATTGGCTATGTTCTTTGCAGAGTGAAAAGATTTTGAAGTTGATATTCAAGGCAATTTTATTTTTGTAAGATGCTTTAGACAATGTATATAAGTGTTTTTAGATACTTCATTTTGAGAGGGGACAGAAAAAGTACCCATGGTGGTGGTTGTGGTTTTGTGCGTTGTTTCCCCCCCCCCTCCCCCC